ATCGAAAAATACAAGATCATAGTCCCTCGATGACGCTATCAAAGTTGCCTTTCAAAATGATCTTAGTCCCTAAATAAAAGTGCTACGTCATCTCACAACATTACTATCATGGTCATACGATGACCCAACGCCCGTCCCTTCACATCCAATGATGGGGCTTCTTACCAAAACAATGGTAAGATAGCAACATCTAAAGGAAGAGGAAAAGCACATCTAAGACCTTTTGAGTAGGTAGATTATTTTTAGTTGCTTGCTCAATTTCAAAACCAACATCCTTGCTATTTTAAAAAACAATCACATACACTTTCAAAACACTTTCCAAACGTGAAATATTTTCAAAAGCTCAACACTTTTGTATGCATTCTTACGAACGAGAATCATTGCAAAAGTTTGCCTAAACGATGGCATCTTTTCAAAGATACTTTCAAAACCCACATCACAAAGCACATTTCAAAGCAAAAGCAAGTAATCTAGCAAGTAACTAAGAGCCCATGGAAAACCATGGATGGAAAGGGTGCTAATACCTCCCCTTTTCATAATATACCCCCCGAACTCAAGAAAACATCTCTAAAGGTCTTTCCTGTGCTTTTTTTACCTTTCCTTTTGGATAAAAGAAAAGTCGGTGGCGACTCTTGCTAAACTGTAACATTTGCAAACACAAATGCAAAACACCTCAAGTCAGTTCTCCCACCGTATCACACATATACTTTCTATCAATATAGAAATCAAGAACAAAACTCTAAATAAAATCTTTAAACCAATATCTGAATATAATTATGAGAAGGAAAGCGGAAATGCACCTGAATTTGCCATTGAGAATCACCGAAGATTTGTGGGTATTTGATCTTCCGATTTGCAGAGTTCTTTATGACTCCTTGATTCTCCTCTGATGGGGATGAAAAGAGAATTCCTAATAATTCGTTTTCTCGTTGTCTACAAATAGGATATTGTCTTATGGTATCTACACAATAATATTACATTTCATGATATTTATTATTTTAGCTACAAACTTATTATTAATTAGACCACTACAACTTTGGATAATTAAATAATGGACCTAACACATGTAACATTTAAATTGTGACCCATATATTCTAACAATCTCTCACTGGTCACATATGTAATCATACATATGAGTTAGACTTTATGAGCTCAAAATTCACCATTATATTCTTTAAACATATCCAAATTATCTCGTCCATTAGTCATGCCAATATATAGAATCAAGGTGATTTTCGTTATATCAATCATAACTAAACCCATCAATGATCACCAACAGTGACTCAACTAAATGACATAGATCCATCATGAAATGTGCAGCATGAAAATCACATGAAATTGGTCTGTATATATCGATTTTCCACTGGTCCTACTTTACTTTAGTGAGATCACTCAATAACTTTATTATACAAAATGTAAACGGCTGAATATCAAACCTTATTAATTTGGAAAATATCCAAAATCATAGTATGCATACATAATACTAAAACATATAACATAAAATTCATAATTGACTAACTCCCACTAAACTAAAGACTCCTCTGATGGTAAAACACCCATGCGAATATTGTGCTTATGAAAGACCTTGGGTGGAAGATCTTTTGTAAGAGGATATGCAATCATGGAGTTTATCCCTAAGTGTCCTATGGAAATTTGTCCACTTTGTACCATTTCCTTAAAAACTAGGAACTTGATGTCAATATGTTTTGACTTGGTCGAGCTCCTATTATTGTTGGAATACAAGATGACTGATTTATTGTCACAGTATAACTTAAGTGACCTTTCAATTCCTTCCATAATTTTCAGCCCAGTGACAAGATTCCCCATCCAAATCCATGGTTGGGTGCCTCAAAACATGCTATAAACCATGCTTCTATGGTGGATGAGGTCATAAGAGTTTGCTTAGAGTTGCGCCAAGAAATTGCACCACCAACCAACATGTAGATACAGCCTGGAGTGGATCTTTTATTGTTTTTGGCATCCAACAAAATCTGAGTCAGAGTATCTAATAATCTCTAATTGGTCTAACCTCTTATATGTGAGCATACAGTCTTTTGTTCTCTTTAAATACCTCATAACCTTTTTTGGCTACTTTTCAATGATCCATTCATGGATTGCTCAAATATCTTCCTAACATCCATTGAGGAATATTGTCCTGACATCTATTTGATGGATTTTCAAATCATAATATGCAACAAGAGCCATGATTTTCCTAAAATATCATTTCGATAAAACCAGAGATAAAGTTTATTTAAAGTCAATCCCTTCCTTTTGAGTATAACATTTAACCATAAGACGAGTTTTATACCTTTCCACATTACCATTAGAATCTTATTTGGTCTTAAAAATCCATTTGCAACCAATGAATTTTACACCTTCTGGTAATGGGACAAGTTTTCAAACTTTATTGTCTTACATGGACTTATAATCATACTTTATTGCTTCAATCCACTTACCATTATTTTCCTCATGTTTTTGAAGAAATACTATGTAATCATCCAGAATAGCATTTCTCCTTTCTTTAATGGATCTCCGCAAAGGTATTGGTACTTGTAACACTTATTCTTGAGGATTTTGAGTTTATCCTTCATGAATTATCAAATCATCTTGAGTAGAAGGAAAATCAACCATGTCTTGTGGAGGTTTCATACTTGCTTGATCAAAAGCAACTGTATGAATCGGTTCTGGAATTTTTATCGATTCTTCCTCTAAAACAAAGTCTCTAACCTTATTCTTCCTCCCAAACTCAATATCCTAAAAAATTATGGATGTTCTCGTCTCAAATTTTTTTAACTTGGGATCATAAAATTTGTAGTCCCTAGATCTTTCAGAATAACCAATAATGTAGCTGCTAACTGTTCAGGAGTTCAATTTCTTTTTATTTATCCTATAAGGCCTTGCCTCAGCTGGACATCCCCACACATGAAAATGTTTTAAACTAGGCTTTCGCCCAGTCCAAAGCCCGTAAGGTGTTTTGGAAGTTGCTTTTGTTGGTACTTTATTTTGAATGTAAGTTGCAATCTTTAGTTTCTCTCCCCAGAATGACTCTGACAAGGTAGAATGATAAATCATACTCCTTACCATATCCTTAAGAGTTCAGTTTCGTCTTTCAGCAACACCGTTCATGTTAGGCGATCCTGGCATGGTGTACTTTGGGACGATTCCTCATTTAAGAATTCATCATAGGAAGCTATTGTGTCAAGTAAATATAAATTATCATGACTCATATGTGAACCAATTCCAACAATATCTGAATTGAAAGACAACTTGAACATATTGTTTCCAAATGAACAACAATTACCTGATTTATCCAAATAAGAAATCGAAATTAAATTTCGTCTAAATGACGGAACCACAAAAGTGTCTTTTAAGTCCAAATAAAATCAGGTACACAGTAATAATCTAAAAATCCTATAGCTTTCACCTTCATCGACTTGTCATCTCCATATTGATGTATCTTTCAACATCATTTGGCTTTCGGTAGTTTAGACAACTCTTCATTGAAGCACTGATGTTAGTAGTTGTACCATAGTCTAACCACTAAGTGTTTTCAGATATTAAAGCTAAATTGACATCAGAACAGACCAAACCATCATTAATGCGATTTTCCTCCGTAAGGACCAGAACTGAATTCATATTAGCTGAAAAACAAGAACAAAATTAAACATTTTAAATAGACTCACATAAAAAAACCGAATTATCAATTTGTTCAAATAATGACATAACTCATCTCAAGATACCTGATGCACCATCAATATTGAGTCTTTGGACACTAATATTAATCACTAGTGGTACTCTTATTGTAACGAACAAACATTGATAATAAAAAACATGTTGAATAATAAACTTCTCTTTGGATTTATTTATTATTCACAAGTAAAACCTTATAATTATCATACTTATCATCACAGACGCGTATGAAAATCGACCAAACATCAACTGTCATTTAAATCAATTGATACTCGCATAAATAAACATACATATAAACCAGAAAATATTTAATATTTTTCATAAATAATTGTCATAAAAGAAACCACTTTACCGACTCTTTCATTTTAATTACACACTTAAAAAGTTAAATCACTATATAAAAATACAATCTATAGTTCATACTTGAACAAAAATTATAATAATTATTTACTTTATCTATTTTATCATCCGAAGTACAAAAAAGAAAAAAGTAATATATCATATATTATACAACCTTGTTATTTATTCCAGTCTCAACAAACGTTCTACGTTTTATAGATATTAATATATTAAAGTCTAAACAATATATTATATAACCAATTCTCTAATTCAAAGTCTCAACAAATGAAATGGGTATGATGATACAAAGTTGAAGTGAAACTCCCAATGGCCCAATCAAATCATACAGTGTCGTTTGGATACTCAGAACAAATTCTCAACCAAAGTTGATGAAAACGGCGGCACCGAATCATAATCCCTTTACCATAATTTATTATTATTCTTTGTGCACTATTTGGCACTAACAAAATTAAATTATAAAGAAAACACAGTTCAAAGAATTTTAACAGGTTATTGAATAACGAAATCCTAATTATTTATTTTCAATCACAATTAGATGATGTTGATATTCACATGTGCCTTAGCCATCAAACAATGACTTGAAAAATCTTTCTCATAAAATCAAACGAGTATTATGGCACAATCGTCATGTGATTTTTCTGTCTTTCTGGATCGTTGAGATCTCTCTTTTCATTCATTGGTCAATGTACTACTGAGCTCTGTCGATTAATTAGCGATTCAAAATGAATCAGGAGAATTATTGTTGTACCACCATGCAGGAAGAGACAATTCTTGTAGGGCCCAAGGTATATAAAAAAACCAACACAAAATCAGTGTTTTATTTTACACCGTTAGTTGTTAGTTGTAGCAAGATTTCTTTACAGTGTTCCAAGGTTCTATATAATGTTCCAAGGTTCTAACCAACCCATCAACTACTTAGTACAAAACACATCAAATTTTTAACAAGAGTCATGATCTCTTCATCAGTCACCAACTCAAAGCTTTTACTTCCAAGGTCTCAACTTTCAATTCAACCAACCATTCGAAATGTTGAACAAAACATGGGTCTCTCTTTACTTTCTTTCAAAAAACCTCTTTACCTTTCATGCACTCAGAATTTTTCATTGTTAGCAAAACCCAAAAGAAAGAATGTGACACAATGTCAAGCCTATGAGGCTGATAGATCAAGGCCATCAGAGATTAACATTGAACTTCCTGATGAAGAAGCAGCTCAAAAGGTTAAAATAGGATTGTACTTTGCTACTTGGTGGGCTTTGAATGTTGTTTTCAACATATACAACAAGAAAGTTTTGAATGCTTTTCCTTACCCTTGGCTTACTTCCACTTTGTCCTTAGCTGCTGGTTCTCTCATCATGTTAATCTCATGGGCCACTAGGGTTGCTGAGGCCCCAAAAGTTAGTCTGGACTTCTGGAAAGCCCTTTTTCCGGTAAGAAAAATCACTACATTTCCTTTTCATTCTAATTGTTTTAACTTTTTTGTATAATCTCCAATTCAGATGAGGGTATCTAGTGTCTGACATATGTCGGTGTCTGATATGACTTATGTAGTTACATTCAATGGTGTCTGATGAGGCACAGAAGAATAAAGGTTAGACTTACGTATTTACCTAAGAAATTGGAAATTTGATTATCTATAGGTAGCTGTGGCACACACAATTGGGCATGTTGCTGCAACTGTGAGCATGTCCAAAGTAGCAGTTTCATTCACTCACATCATCAAGAGTGGAGAACCAGCTTTCAGTGTGCTTGTATCAAGATTCTTGCTTGGAGAAGCATTTCCCATGCAAGTTTACCTTTCATTGTTGCCAATAATTGGTGGTTGTGCACTAGCTGCAGTGACTGAGCTCAATTTCAATATGATTGGTAAGAATAAGATCACAAACAATTTTTTTAATAATAGCGTCCTGAATAATATATTTGAACGTAACACAAACTCAAATAGCATTCCAACTCTGTATACCCTTCACGTAACTAATTCTTTGAGACGAATTCGTACCATGTACTGAAACGAATTGTGAATGACGTGACTATGTTATAAATAGAGTACTTATTCATTTTTCAGGATTTATGGGAGCTATGATATCAAATTTGGCATTTGTATTCAGAAATATATTCTCGAAGAAAGGGATGAATGGGATGAGTGTTAGTGGAATGAACTACTATGCGTGTCTTTCTATGTTATCTTTACTAATTCTCACACCTTTCGCCATTGCGGTCGAGGGTCCTAAACTTTGGGCTGCTGGCTGGCAAACAGCCGTGTCTCAGATTGGGCCCAATTTCGTTTGGTAAGCATAACAGTCTCCGCGCGTGACCTTAGTAACAAGAGTTTATCGTTGTAAAATGGTTATTAATGTCTTGTTTTATGTTTACAGGTGGGTAGTTGCACAGAGTGTGTTGTACCATTTGTATAATCAAGTATCATACATGTCTCTTGATCAGATTTCTCCTTTAACATTTAGCATAGGAAACACAATGAAGAGAATTTCGGTAATAGTCTCTTCGATTCTTATCTTTCACACTCCACTTCAACCTATCAATGCTCTTGGAGCAGCAATTGCGATTCTTGGAACCTTCATCTATTCACAGGTGTATTCTCAATTACTTCTAAACTATATATAATCAATCTCTTGTCCATTAATTAACACCTTTTCTGTTGATTCTGTGAAAGAGCAGGCTAAAGAGAAATAAGGCTGTGACTTTGAAGCTGTTATTGAATTCAAGAGAATGATGACTCCTATTTTGAGCTTATGTTGTTGGACTATATATGGTGTTAATTAGAGAGTGTATTATGTTGCCCATAGAAGTTTTCTTCAAGGCCATTTAAAAGTGTTTGTAATCTCGTTTTTATATGTATAAATGAGTTTTCCATTGCTTTCATGTACCAAAGTGTTGTTTTTTTAAAGAGATTTCCAAAATATTTATTTGGGAGTTTGTATTTCTAAATTAATGTATTTAAATTGCAAATGAAATTTAATATCATGAAATGGTAAAGAGATATCTTCTCTCAGATTAAATTTAGTCATTGATACACATATACACAGTAGTGTTAAATTTTTTTTTCGAAGAGTTTTGTCTATTGTGGTCTTAACTAGTATGGGAGATTAGTAGGAGTGACAATTGAAATCATTAATACAAAATTTATCCATCCACTAAAAAATTCATCCAATTAATCTATCAAATGAAAGGAAGTTAATGGATTGAATTAAATCATTTAGTTATATATATGGATGGATCAAATCCATCCATCACATTTTGATTATCCAATAAATTATTTTTATATTATTTTTTAAATCCAATAAATTTATTTATTTTTAAATAATTCTTTTTCCAAAATAAAGAAAATGATGTTACTCAAAATTTTGGAAAATCGAGGTTTTTTCAAAAAATTAAAAAATTGAGTTTATTTGAAATATCGAGTTTTTTCAGAAAATTGGAAAAACCAAGTTTTTTTCTTCAAAAAATAGGAATGCCAATTTTTTTTTTTGGAAAATTGAGTTTTTCGGAAAACCAAGTTTTTTTGAAAAATCAAAAAATCGAGTTTTTTCAGAAAATCACTTTTTTATCGAAAAATCGAAGAAAAAAAATGAGTTTTTCCGGAAAATCAAAAAGAGTGATTTTTTGCAAAATCGAGTTGTTTCAAAAATACCAAAAAATCGAGTTTTTTTTCAAAAAATAGAATTATCGAGTTTTTTTTTCAGAAAATCAAAATATCGAGTTTTTTTTGGAAAATCAAAAAGTCGAATTTTTTCAGATAATTGAGAAATCGAGTTTTTCTGGAAAATCACTTTTTTCTTTCTAAAAAATTGAGTTTTTTTTTTTAAATCGAAAAATCGAGTTTTTTTCAGAAAATCAAAAAAATCGAGTTTTTTGGGAAATACAAAAAAATCGAGTTTTTCACAAAATCAAAATATCGAGTTTTTTGGGAAAATTAAAATATCGAGTTTTTTCGGAAAATCGAAAAGTCGAGTATTTTTTTTCTTCAGAAAATCGAGTTTTTTGGAAAATAAAAAAAAAACTAGTTTTTTTTGGAAAATCAAATTTTTTCGAAAAATCAAAAAAATCGAGTTTTTCCAGAAAATCAAAAAATGAGTTTTTTTCGAAAAATTGAAAAGTCGAGTTTTTTTTTTCCGAAAAATCGAGTTTTTACGGAAAATTAAAAAAAAAACGAAGTTTTTTGGAAAATTGAATTTTTTTAGAAAATCGAATTTTTTCGGAAAATCAAAAGATTGAGTTTTTTCCAAAATACAAAAAAAAAAAGAGTTAATTAAAAATGCAAAATATTTAAAAAAAAATAAATGAATATATTTAAATTAATTATTTTTGGATGAATAAATATCCATCCATTAAAATGTTGTGAATGGATGGATTTGATGAATTTTATTCTTAATGGATGAATTTGATTGAATATTTTTAAGGAAGTTTTAGTGGATTGTTAATGAATTAATTAATTGTTTTGATCCATCCACTAAAATCCAATCCATTTTTATCCAATCCATCCATTTTACCACCCCTAGAGATTAGTTTTCATCCGTGCCACCTATTGTAGTCCTAACGGACCCAAGGGATCTCCACCCAGTTTCTACCAAAAAAATGAAATTTAATAAATAACTCGATGGTTGGGAAGACGTCATTACCAAATGAAACGCTACATTGGTTGTGGAAAAAGATGAACGTTAATTATTTGAGATGTAGAATTTAATTAACAAGGTGTTTCTCTTCACTAAGTGATATGAACTTCTCTATATTAAAGATACTTAGAAGCAAAAAAGACAAGCGAAACCATTTCTCTACCATTTCAACTAGAGTCGTCTCAAAATTTTGAGAGGCCCTGTGTAAGAAACTGAAGATAACTTCAATTGAGTCGTGGATTTTTTTTAAGAGGCTATATTTAACTGTAAATTGTTTGTCTAATATGAGTTTGGAGGCCCTTTTTTCCATAGCTTAATCATAAAAAAGTGTGAGGCCTAGTGTTGTAGGTTGCCTTGCACACTCTCAAAGACGACCCAGATTTCAACTATCTGCAACTGATTATTAAAAGATAAAACATCTTTTTTAGCTGATTATCCAAAGATAAGTTTAAGTATATTGAGCAATTCACATTAAGGCATTCAAAGTATCATAAATGAAGTTGTAGTTAATCCCCATTACATCTCATATATAATAACTGGTATGGCAAAATAATTTAGTGTGAATTCAAATGCTTTGAAATTTATAAATCTAATCTTCATTAACATCTTCTTTGTTTAGTATTGTAGTATCTTTCCAACGACCATATTTTCCAACAATCTTTAGGTTCAATCTATTTATGAATCAACAGTTGTTTTACTCAAAATAATGACATATAACTCTGGAATTAAAAAAATTTGATGGAGACAACTTTGTGGAATTAGAAAAGTTTGATGATGACAACTTTGTTAGTCGTTAGAAAAATATTAAATTCCTTCTTTCAATTTTAAAAGTGGTACATGTTTTGAACACCACAAGACCATTAGAGAAGGATGAAGAATCTATTTCTGAAACATGAAGCATATTTTCAACGGTATGACATACTCTTTCCTTGATATCTATAAAAGTATTGGACCATGAGAACATGAATCGAAATTCTCTATTACCAATCTTCATACTCATTTAGCACGACTTCCTTTTCTTTAGACTTCGCCACATGTGACAAAGGGGGAAATAATCCCTCTTTGACAGGGTTTTGGTCGATTGGCCTTCATTCATTACTTGGAAACTTCCATTTTTGTTTGAACTCTTTGCTTTATAGGCAACCTTTTTCTTTCATCGGTGCCTCCTCCATTGTGTTCTCGTCATTGGATTCTTGCCTAGGTAATTCTTTGAAGTATATGAATACTTCTTTGATGTCTAGGAATAATTATGGTAGAAAGATCCCACACCAATGTCAATTGTTTTCCACTTCTATTGATCAACACCTGTTTTCTCTACAAGTCTCATTTGTTCTCCCATGGGGATGTTTGTAGGTGGTACATAAGTTATTGTTTGGGGTCTTATACAGGGAATACCTCTTTTGTCTAAGATGAAGATGTCTTTTCTGTCATTCCTTCCAAACTTATATGTCTTAACCTTTTCCAAACCTTTGACAACCTCCTTGTCGAAGACTACACTAAACCGCGGGCACAACATTGCTTCAGAATCTTTCAGCTTGCACCTGTTGAGAAAACCAATCAACTCTTCCTCCACTTTTGGATACACCATTTTCATCTGCTCTGCATAGTCGAGCGGACTAAATACAACTACCTATTTGTTGGTGTCATCTATAATGTCTACCATCATTATGTCGACGGTCTCGACATAGAGGGCTATTTCAACCTTGAGGCCTGACTTGCCTTTTTCCTGAGGCTTTGGCTTAGGAGAAAGTTTTAGCCTTTTTTCCTTGAGTATGTTATGGACCAGATCCCTGAAAAGAACACATTGTGAGGTCTTATGACCTAGGAAATTATGAAATTTGAAAAACCCCTTTTTTTTCTTTACTCTAATGGTGGTGTCTTTAGCCATTTTGAGACTATGATATGAACATTGGAAACTAATAGTTCGAAGATCTCGTCACGTTTGGTCACATCAAATGTGTATGTCTTTATAACATATTTCTCCTTTTTTCCTGGTTCGATGAGATTCTTCATGTTCGAAGGTTTTAACAACTTACAAACGTAAGGTGGCCCTAGGTTGAACTCCGCAAGATTAACCTCACTCTCTTCGACATAATAAACATCGAATATTTGGTCAATTTCATATATTTCGATGTACGCTAATTTTTCCTTTTAATGATATTTATTAGACCTGGCCTTCTCAGCTTTAAAATGTTCGACTTGTCGAACTCTGTCTGCTAGTTGGGCCATGTCATTTAGACATTAGGTGTCTAACTTCTTCCTTACGTTCGACTAGCTCATGTTCAGGAACCTAAGTAAAGCACCTTGCTTTCATTATCCTAAACCTATTTAGGTAGTCGTCTATTGACTCAACCTACTTCCGCTTCACACTAGCCAACTCTTTAAGGTTAATCTTTGATTGGCCCATTTAAAAATGTTCATGGAACACCCTCTATAGTTGATTATAACTACATATTGAATGTGGTGGAAAAGTGTTGAACCATGTGAAGGCATTTTTAGTAAGGTAATTTGGGAAGAGTTTCATCTTCAAATTCTCATTATTCGCTAAGTCTTCTGCCTTTAACTGATATCGCGTCACATGTTCGACAGTAGATTCATTAGTATCCCCTGCAAACTTAGGGAACTTGGGGATTTTCCAACCCCTAGGTAGTTCAGTCTGCAATACATAATCAGACAATGCAAAAATAAAATTTGGCCTACGTATGCTAATATTGAGGCCATTATGGGCCAGAATTTGTTCGACCGCGTTAACTATGTTGTTTGGCACCCTATAATTATTTTGTTGGACGTTCCTAATGACTTGGTTTGCATCTTGACTCCTAGTAACTGGCATTACCTCTTGGCCATTTCTCCCTTCATCCTTCCTCATTACTCTGGGTAGGGGCGGTTCGACCTGTTAGGGAACAACTTATTGTTGCTCTTGATTATTAGGAATCCCTGCATTCTTTGGGACTTCTAGAGCTTGAACAAATCTAACATTTAGAATTTGAGGGATTGGTAAAATAGGCGCTTGGGGAGCACCAAATAAATCTTCAATTCAACACATTTAGTGAGCCAATT